TCTTGGCACCTTCAACTCAGCAGAGTTGCCGATCTGATTTTCAAAATTCAAGTAATTTATATTTTTTTTATTGTGTAGTTGGGTTTTTAATTTTTCAGAAAAAGGGGAAGGAAAATCTTGGGAAAAATGGTTTATACTCTCTCTGGGATGCGGCTGCCTACTGTGCCATTGGTGAATAAGTTGGGTGGTACGGGATCCAGCTCTCGTGCTGATCGAAGAAATGCCCATCTCTCGTTTCTCTCAAAGAATCAGTCGCATTCATGTACGACATAACTGCTTTCTCTGTTTATGTTTCGACCAGATATTCATTTGCAGGAGGACAATCTGTCCGTTTTAGTTCCGTGCTGCTTTTGATTTTGTTCTTCGTCTTATTCAATTGGGTAACATGTAATTTGTTTTCTGTGCTGTGAATGAATGATTTGTTAAGTGTATTGATCGTTAGCGATTATAAGTTAGAGGGAGTGACCTATCAAAAAAAAAAAAAAAAGGAGTTAGAGGGAGTTAATTTTAATTTTTTTCGCGAAAAAGCCTGGAGATGGTATGGAATTTGATATAGTTGATTATATTAGAGTAGATATTAATGCGATCAATTTATGTGCGGAGTTTGGTTGGACGCATCAATGTGCTTCTTGGGTTTATTTTTAGTTGCAGGTTCTAATGCTGAAATAATATTTTTAATGTTGGGGGTTCAACGCAATCCAATTCAAGAGCGGAAACCGCAACTGTCCAGTTTTGCTCGCGGGTAAATGATGGGCTTTTAGTGGGCAGTACCCTATTCTTTTTGCTGTTGCTTGAGAATCTGCAGAAGGGCTTATACGAGACCTAGCATCTCTCAGCTCAGATTTGGCATATCCAGTCCAAATCCTTCCTTCTGTTACCCGAATTTGTACTTTCTTGATTTGTTGGAAATGCGACATAATTTGATTATAATACAAATTACATGAAAGGCTAACTACTTGATACTTAATAGCTGTTGGAATAGAGTTAAGATTAAGATTTTCTTACAGCATGGGGGAGATTTTGACATATCAGGAAAATGTGGGAGATGGATGAATTTTGCTTTTGGGACTTGTTGGCGGCATGCGAGCTTGTTATTGATGTCTTCTTTTTATATTTTTATATTGCTGTTGCTATGCTTTTATTGCCTTACTTTCCAATTACAAGAAGCAATAGCTCCCTGCCCTATTAGACTATTATTCATTATGTGAAAATAAATTTAGTAATGTATATGGGATATTTTTGAAAGATGTAGCTGAACTGGTACTTGTTTGTAGGGACGATTTTTGCTGAAAAATCTTCTTATGATTCTGGATCCCAATCTTCTACAGCAACTGCATCGGAGAAGGTCCTTATTCCTGGCACACAGAGTGAGGGGTCCTCATCAGAGGAGTTGAACGTTGCCGAGATAGTTTCAGAAGATCCCCAGGCACGTGAGCATGAAACCTACTCCCGTACTTATGGCCCCCCAAGTCCCACACATACACATCTCCATGTAGTGAGAAACAAACTCTTGATCTCATTATAAAGGTCAAAGTGTGTGACTTATTAGTGAAGTTGCTTTATCAGTTGGAAGCTTGTTATAATAAGAATATCGGCTGCAATTCTCATTGCCACCCCTCCAGGAAAGGAGGTGGATATGTTTTCACCTGTGCTGCTAAATTTTGAGTTCGTGCTGACCTCAAATTACGTTAATTTTTATCCTTTTCAAGTGCATCTATCAATTAAATAATTTTATACACTTCTCCATTAGCCTCCTTTGAAACCTGAAACTCACTATTTGGAACATGAATAATCAATTGAGTTGTTCTCTTACACTGTGTTATAATGTTATTATGCTATATCATATGCTTGATATAGGACACTTGTATGAGACTTGGAGTTATGCCTCAGATTTGATGGGTAAAAGGTAGAAAATTTTCAAAAATTTATTGTCCTCAAAGATGAAACTGAGGAGACTTAGTGCAAGTAAGAGAGTGCTTATAAGGAGCTTTTAAGCACACTCACACATGCTATAAGGTTCGAGGATAAAGTAATTTGAAAATCTGATCTGTAGAATCTTTATTATTGCACCAAGTATTAGATAAAATACTTACTGGGTTGGTCTGTTGTAGAGTTTGATAGCCAATGGTTTATGAAACTCTGTGGGTCCTCCTACCATGATCCAAATGGTAGCTTCATAAGAGTGCTGGGATAGTTTAATTTTGCTACTATTTTTTGCTGTTTACAAAGTTGATCATTTTTCCAATTAGGACAGCCAGATGAAGCTGAAAACTCATATAGAGAGAAGAGGAGACGGAAAGAACTTAAGAGAATAAGAGTCGAAAAATATTATTGTTTTCAGGAAACAAGGCAAATCATTTGACCAGTTCCAGTCGAGATTTTTGTTGGGATTTAAATGGATTTAAGCGACAACATTAACTTATAATTAGAGAAATTTTAGTCTTTTTAAATCATTCTAGACGTTCTGGAAGAACTATAAATACCTGGAAAGTTGATTTTTTGACTGTGATGCTACCTATATCTATCATTTCTGGAAAAAGGAAGGTGACATCTGTCCTTAAAACTCAATCAAAATATATCTAATCTATTGTGTAGGTTCTCACAGTTGTAATGAAGCCTTTAAAAGTACTTTCCCATACATCAGAAAGGTTTCTGTGGTGGGGCGTATTCATAGACTTCACTGAACTATGCATGTTGAACCCTTGACACGTGGGGTATTTTGTGTACTTCAAATTTGGGGAAATGGGCTGAAATATCATTTGACATGGCTTGAAGGTTTTTTATCTCCAGGCCATCATAAAAGTTTTAGTAGTTTAAGATTATGTTCATTGGAGTGTAATTTAAGATTTAGTTGGAACGGTATTGCTTTTGAAGTCCATAAACTCTTGTCCACCTCACTCTTGACATCTTTTCTTCCTTTGCCTCTCTTTGATTTCCAATCCCCTAATTTCTTATTTCTTTTTTTCTGGGAATGGACTTAGATTCGATTACTTATCTGGTGCCATTGTGTTTAGTCTAAATATATAACTAATTATCAGAATTGTTGAGTATGATAAGAATTATTTTCAATTTACTTCTTAAGGACACATGTGCCTTCTCAAAGCGAAGTAATTTTTCATGATTTTGCGGACAGATATGATCTACATTTCCTATTAAAGATCTCTAGATCTGCCTGTTTATACGCTTTTGCATTATATGGAAGGAAAGGAAAATTTTCACATAAAAAGAATCAAATAAAAGAGAGATTAAAGATATCCTAATATTTAACTAAAACTAAACAAGAAGACACTTGACAATACTGAAATAACTCTTCAAATATGCTAAAGGTCGGAATGAGGAATCTTGGAGTAAATACCCCAATTCTATCTGTTATCAGAATCAAATATCTTCGATCTGCTTAAATGAAAATGAATGTGTGAATGCTATCTTTTGTTACAATTATATTTTCCCTCCACTGATCTTCTCTATGCACAAATCTTATCTGTAGATATCTGGTGATGATGAAAGTTTAAAAATGGAACATGAAGGCAGACTTAAAGATTATTTTCCTTCCACTGATCTTCTCTATGCACGAATCTTATCTGTAGATATCTGGTGATGACGAAAGTTTAAAAATGGAACATGAAGGCAAACTTAAAGATCAAGAAAATTTTGTTCAGCAGGGGAGCAGTTTTAGTGAAACCATGAGAGAGGAAGATTCTGCATCTTTACCACTACTAGATGTAGATGTTGAAGCAAAGGCTGAAGGAAATTCAGACACAGCGTATGTGTCTATGAGTACAGAATCAGATAGGGTCAGAAAGAGGGTTATCACTCCACCTGGAATTGGTCAAAGGATATATGAGATAGATCCACTTTTGACAAAGCACCGTGATCATCTTGATTACCGGTGAGACTTCTTTTCAACATGTTTTAATTTGAACCAATGTGTACGATAGGATTAAAACTTCTTGAGGTTCACAATCTAGTTTAAACTCTTGAAGTTTGGACCTATGTGTAATGGTGTTTTTGTGAGATAACCTCACATTTTGAAATTAAAAAGGCCCGCGATTATATTTTCTTGTTTAGAAACAAATTAATTTTGTAATTATCATCAATTAGCATATATGTTTCTAGAAGTGTATAGCAGTGCCGCACAGGATAGCTGCATCCAGCATTATATCAATCTGTTTTGTCAGTAAATATGTTTTTCATTCACAGGTATGGACACTATAAGAAAATGCGTGAAGCAATTGATAAGTACGAAGGCGGGTTGGAAATGTTTTCTCGTGGTTATGAGAAATTCGGTTTTACTCGCAGGTAATATTACTTAACTTTCTAAACACTATTGCTTTCTTTTTTTTCATATGATGACTTAAATGGAGTTCATCCTAGTTCATAACTGAATGCATCTGGTCGAACAACAATTCTGTTGTGGTACTTACACCTAACTAGTAATTTCTATTATCGTTTTTAGTTTTTACAATTTTGCATGGCTTACTTCGAGGGAAATTAATGAACATGCAACCGCAAGTAAGCTTCAGTGCCGAGAGACTGAACAACATAGCCTGAAGCGGGGTAGTTGATTTAGGTCTTCTTATTCCACCGCTAGCCGAATCCTACCTCTTTTTATGCGCGTTTCTGATCCTTCTGATCTAACAGCTGCAGACTAGGACTACATTTCGTAAAACTGGTTTCTCCTTAAATTGATGATTTGAACTGGTTCCAGAAGTTGATATCCATTGTTTTTTCAATTGAATATATTTCTTGATTAGATTGATGTCATGACAAGGTGTTCCTCCCCTCTTAAATCAAACATGTCATACTTAAAAGGACTGCAGCTACCAAGGTGAAGAAATTTATGTTCCAAATCAGGTAGCCAGGGTTTTAAATATCATTAATTCTTTTTAGATCCAAGCGCTTGATAAATCTAATGATTATGTGTTTAAGTTTTTTATGGGAAAGACTCAAATGTTGGTATTACACCATTTTGAATTGTTTGAAATGCCTGTGTTTTTGTTCATTTAGAATTGAAATTCATATATGTTTGTTACTTCAAGGTCTGTACAGATCTGTGTACTGTTATATCTTCTTAAAAGAAAGTTAACTTTTTCACAGAGTTATCCGTGAGTGGTGGTTAATAGATATTTCTATACTAACGTGATCGATATTTGTATTGTCAGTGCGACAGGTATAACTTACAGGGAATGGGCACCTGGTGCCAAGGTTAGTCCCATTAATTTCTTTAACTGTGATCTGTGACAGTTTTCTTCTTCCTTGCTATAATGCCACGCTTTTCACCTAGTTTTTTCAACAATTATTCTTAGAGTTCTATATCTCACACTGATAGCAGCAATACTTCCCTATCCATCTAGATCATGTCCTTTAGTGTCTTATGGAAAGGAAGAAATGGAAAGCAATTTACTTCGCATCTGGCTAGAATCTCTCTTTATGTAACTGTTTCTTGTTCTCTTTGAATCTCATTTAATGCTCACTGTTGAATTTTCCTCCTCAGTCTAGTTTGTCTTACTATTGGTTGGTTGCTTCTAGTTTGATGTACCGGAAACTGTTTAGAGGGGGTTTCAATGAGTTTGGTGAAATGTTACCAGATTGCTTATCTAAACGATTCTGTTTAGATGCATACGCACTGTATTTTAGTTACTAGTTTAGATATTGCTCATGTTTTGTCTTGAATAAAACCATGGTTTGTTTCCTCTTCTCTCTTTATGTTCACATGATCTGTTCATTTTTTCTTGAGAATTGGTGTGTTTGAATTGTTACAACAATATTTACCAATCTTATAGGAAAAATAGCACCCAGAGGTCCCCAAATTTTGACGTTTGTCGCTCTTTGGTCTCTAATCTTCAAAATGTAGTATTTACATCCCCAATCTTTCATTTTACTAGCACTTAGGTCCCCGTTTCACTATTTTACTCTCTTCTCTTATTAACACGATAAAATTTTATTTACAACAGGGTATTTCCTTTCTCTTTAGCTAAAGAAAAAAATAAACAAAAATAAGAATAGAAAAAAAAAAATGGAAATCTTTCTTCTCCATGCCACCCCAACTAAACCCACTTCACGTCCACACAATTATTGCATATCACTGCCATCACTTTGACATGGGCTTGGGTTGGAAGAAGATTCTTTTTTCTTTATATATTTGGTTTTTATTTAATTTTCTGTTTGTTTGAAGATAATGATAAAACTGTTATTTTAATAAAATTTTAGCTTAAGTGCTACTAAAATGAAAGATTGAGGGAATTGGTGTTGTTGAATTGTTACAACAATATTACCAATCTTATAGGAAAAAAAGCAGGCAGAGGTCCCCAAATTTTGACGTTTGTTGCACTTTGGTCTCTAATCTTCAAAATGTAGTATTTACACCCCCAATCTTTCATTTTACTAGCGCTTAGGTCCCTATTTTACTATTTTACTCTCGTCTCTAATTCACACGATAAAATTTTATTCACAAAAGGGTATTGCCTTTCTCTTTAGCTGAATAAATAAAAATAAACAAAAATAAGAATAGAAAAGAAAAATGGAAATCTTTCTTCTCCATGCCCTCCAACCAAACCCACTTCACGTCCACACAATTATCGCGTATCACTGCCATCACTTTGACGTGGGCTTGGGTAGGAAGAAGATTCTTCTTTTTATATTTTTGATTTTTATTTAATTTTTTGTTTGTTTGAAGGTAATGATAAAACTATTATTTTAATAAAATTTTAGCTTAAGTGCTACTAAAATGAAAGATTGAGGGAATTGGTGTTGTTGAATTGTTACAACAATATTTACCAATCTTATAGGAAAAATAGCAGGCAGAGGTCCCCAAATTTTGACGTTTGTTGCACTTTGGTTTCTAATCTTCAAAATGTAGTATTTACATCCCCATCTTTCATTTGACTAGCACTTAGGTCCCCATTTTACTATTTTACTCTCATCTCTAATTAACATGATAAAATTTTATTCACAAAAGGGTATTGCCTTTCTCTTTAGCTAAATAAATAAAAAAATAATAATAAATAATAATAAAAAAATGGAAATCTTTTTTCTCCATGTCACCCCAACCAAACCCACTTCACGTGCTCACAACTATTGCATATCATCGTCATCACTTTGACATGGGCTTGGGTAGGAAAAAGGTTATTTTTTTTATATTTTTGGTTTTTATTTAATTTCCTGTCTGTTTGATAATAATGATAAAACTATCATTTTAATAAAATTTTAGCTTAAGTGATACTAAAACGAAAGATTGAGGACAGAAATGCTTCGATTAGAAGAATGGAGACTAAAGTGCAACATGATTCCAAGTTCGGCAATCTTTGTTTGCTATTTTCCAGTTTTATATGGTAACTAGTTTTATAAATATGCAATATATTCTTAGGTCTCTTTTCTGTGCATTTTGCAGTGGGCAACACTTATTGGAGATTTCAACAACTGGAATCCTAATGCTGATGTCATGACTCGTGTAAGTGTTATCTCTTCATTATTGGAACATCCTATATATAAACATGTACACACACACACACACGTATATAGTAAGTGAAAAAGAACTCATGTAGTTTAAATTGCTACTTCATAAATAAAACATATATATGTATGTGTATGTATGTATATATATATATATACACACGCGCGCGCGCGCGCACATATCTATGTGTGTGTGTGTGTGAAAAAGAACTCATGTATTTTAACTTGTTACTTCATAAATAAAACACACACACACATATAGACACGTTTATATGTATCTACAATTGGAATCCTAATGCTGACGTCATGACTTGTGTAAGCATTATCTTTTCATTATTGGAACATCCTACACACACACACACACACACACACACATATTTATGTATATACATACAAAATCAAATCTTGGGCAACCACATTGTGCCATGTTACCTTTTTATTCTATCGTGATCATTGGGATCTTGAGGGTCAACTATATCAATCATTTTCTGCTTCTTTTTTTTTTTTTCAATCTAGCACTATATTTTTAGTTATGTCCCACAAAATCAAATCTGGGCAATCAGCCAACCACATCATCAGACATTTGAGTCTTTGTGCTTTAACGAATTGGTTCCATCGTCAGCCAACCACAGCCTCATTTCTTATGTTATCCATTTTGTATGGTCAGACATCTTTGTTAACATTCCCATTTTTCTTACGTTAATCTCTGAGCTCTTTCTGCTTTGACGAACATATAGTTTTTCTAATGACAGTCCTTTAGAACTTTCCTTTTAGTTTGATCGGTAACTCAAAATCACAAAACATCTTCATAGCACTTATTCATTTTGCCCAACCCAAACTAATGCATTACTTCCTCTCTGAGCCCTCCAATAAAAATAATAATCGATTCTCTATTCATGAAGTAATCTTGCTTTCGGACATGGTACTGTATCCTGGCTCTGCTATCCTTTTTGATCCTACTATATCTAGGAGATTCTATGTATTTTGTCTATGATAAAAGGACATTCTGTGTATTCCATTTTACTTCCACTTGACCTAAAATCTTTATATTCCGAAGTGAATGTGCAATTTTCGAACTTAAGTTCTTCTTCTAGTTTAGTCAACTAAAGCTATATTAGCAACGAATAAGATACACCAATGGACATTATTATGACTTCACCTGTAACTCATCCATGACTAGAGCAAAAAGAATATTTTCTATCTTTGGTAGTCTATATCTTTAAGTCACATTGATTTTCTCTATTGTGATTGTTCAGTGTCTCAAAAAATGGCACTAATTTTGGTTAGTTATATTGCTTTGCTATCTCTATTATCCATATTATCATATGATTGACTGACCAATTGTTTGAGCAGAATGAATTTGGAGTCTGGGAGATCTTTTTGCCAAACAATGCAGATGGTTCTCCTCCTATCCCCCATGGTTCCCGTGTGAAGGTAATACTTGTCGCTGGGTAGAGCAGAGGATCATGAATTTTAGCTATTTCACTGTCCTCTTGAAATGGTGCTTTACTGGATTTTTCTTATCAACTCATTTGAATAAATAATAGTGTTTGTTATAGAAACTTTATCTAATGGAGAATCCCTATCTTACCATTGCACACCTTTCTGAATTCTTCCTTCAGTCAAAATTTACTAGTGAAGATAAATTTACCAATAAGACAGGCTGTACTGGTTTGCTACTGCCTCTGCAATGCATCAGTGCAAGTCGCTTTGAAAACATTCAACAATTTCAACGTCTTGCTAGCTTAGTTGTTCTTCCTCTAGTTTTGGGATGTAGATCAATTACAAATAATTTCTGACATTCATTCGCTTCATACTTCTGTTAAAAAAATAATGACCTGACACATGCTTAGGTGTAAAAAGGGAAAGGATAGCATGAAAAATACACATTTTCTACACTTTTCAGAATTATTTGTACCAAGTTATAATGGAGCATACTTGAGAAGGAAGAGATATTTTATACTGAATCTTGTGAAGAGATTTTATAATTTTGTGCTTGGCTGTCTACATATGTTCAGATGCATGAGGTCAAAGATCTGTACTGGGATCTTTGTTATCTAAGTTCGCTGAATGGTTACTGGTGTGTATACAATTCTTGCACTTTTACTCATATACATGCCTGACGAAATTTCTCGGCCTTCTCCAGAATCTTCAACAATTTCGACATCTTGCTAGATTAATTCTTATCCTTAGTTTCAGGGTGTAGTTCGGTTGCCAATAACTTCTGCCAATCGATTCTTTTGGAGATGTCTCAATCTCAAAATAGTGGCTTTTTCTAGAGAATTTATTCTTTTCTTACTCTTCTTAAAATAATCATGATGCGACACATGCTTAGATGTAAAAATTGGAAAGGATAGCAAGGAAAATACACATTTTCTACTCTTTCCTAAATAATTATTTGTACCACGTTAAAATGGGGCGTACTTGATAAGGAAGAGCTATTTTATACTGCATCCAGTGAGGAGTTTTTATGATTTGTATGTGTGTCTGGCTGTCTGCATACGTTCAGATGCATGAGATCAAAGATCTTCACTTGAATACTTGTTATCAAGTTTGCTGCAAGTTTATTGGTGTGTATACAAAGTTCTTGAAGCTTTTGGTTGTATGAAAACCCGTGCATTTATAATGCAGATTCGCATGGATACTCCAACTGGCATTAAAGATTCTATTCCGGCTTGGATCAAATTCTCCGTACAGGCTCCTGGAGAAATTCCATACAATGGAATATATTATGATCCTCCAGAAGAGGTATTACAATCTAATACACCTGTTATTTGTGTGCCTCACAGCGAGATTTAGAACCTGTTTGAGCCCCATTCCTTTTCCCCAAAATGCATTTTGGAATAGTATTTTGATAGAGAATGTGTGGTTAAAAAATAAGGAAAAGTTTTGGATTTACGTTTAATATTATTTTTATTGAAGAATGTTTGGTTGAAATAAGAGAGAGATGTATTTTAGAAATAATGGGGACCAAACAAGGGCATTAGCATTGAAAATGGTGAACAGTGGATGATCTGGGACAGGGAAATGACCATATTGTGACTTTCCTGTTTCAAAAAGTTTTAAGCAAAATTTTGAATAAGAAAAATTTCTTTACCTCTTGGCAGTTTTAATCAGATTTTATGCACTGGACTTTGATCCATGAAATAATTCTGAGAGGTTCATTACACGCGAAGTTGCAAGTTTAGAAGATAAATCATAAGGGTTTCTTGAAAGGTTATATGGTGCTTTCTTCAATCAGCCTATGGTGCTGGTATGGATATTATGTTATAATCCTCCCCAATTCCTTTTAGGCTAATTGGTTTTTTTTTTTTTTTTTTTTTTTTTTTTTCCAGGAGAAGTATGTTTTCAAACAACCTCGGCCAGGGAAACCAAAATCACTCAGGATATACGAGTCTCATGTTGGAATGAGTAGCACGGTGTGCATCTCTACTCTCTCATGTGATGAATAAACTCTATGCTTGTACTTATCTGCATTTTCCTTGACTCAGCATATTTTTAAATGATCCATTAGAACTTACATTTCTTAATAGCTGTTAACTTAAGATGAATGTTAAATTTTCACCCTCGATAAACTTTTACCATTTTGAAAAGAATTTTGAACTTGAAGTCATTTGAATGCATATTTTACTGTCATTGAGCAATATTTGGAGTACTCGAGAACTCAAAGCAAAAATTTATAGTTTCTTAAAAACTGAGAAGCCAGAAACCAGAAGCAACTACTAGGGCTTCTCTGTGTATTTTCTCAGCAGACAATACTATACAAATATATAAAAATATGTGGAGTGAAACCAGTTTACTTCTCACATGTCTGCATTGACAATTTGGTGACTTCTTCATCCATCTAGTTTGGCTACCTTCTGTTGTAAAAGCCATTCTAGTACAGTGTAAAGGTGTCGTGTTCTACTCCTATATCCGGTTGATTTCATATGGAAACTTAGGGTTTTTATTATTGTCAAATAATCAATAAATTTAGCAAGTGCTTTCAATAACTTCCTTTAAAGATAGCTTCAGGTTGACAAGCTATTGCTAACTTGCCCAATTTTATAGATGATGTCCAACTTATGTTGACAAGTCTTGGCTTCGTTCTATGGTGCTTCCTTTTGTGAAGATCTGACAGTTGTTGGCTGCACATTAACGTCACCTGGTTCTTATTTTCTTAACCTTGAATGTAGGAGCCTATTATCAATACATATGCCAATTTTAGAGATGAAGTGCTTCCTCGTATCAAAAAGCTTGGTTATAATGCTATTCAGATAATGGCAGTTCAAGAGCATTCATATTATGCCAGCTTTGGGTAATCCATTTCACCTTAATTATTCCACTTAACTACTTTCACTGTCATTTTCAATGTAGTAAATGTAAACTTGGAATTTCCTTTTTTCCCCTATTTTAACAAGAATTTATGCCCATTGATTTGTGTCCATCAGTTACCATGTGACAAATTTCTTTGCGCCAAGCAGCCGTTTTGGGACTCCTGATGATCTTAAGTCTTTGATAGATAGAGCTCATGAGTTGGGTCTGGTTGTTCTCATGGATATTGTGCACAGGTAATAATTGAATTTTAGTGACAAAATCAACTTAAAAGTGGATTTTGTGAGGCAATGGAAACTGCTTATTTCTTCATGTTAGTATCATGTTTTCTATGGGTTTTAGATAATCAAAATATTAATAGACAGTCTAATTTGAATTTTATACTTAATGCATGTGAAATTCGATTCCGAACTTTTACTACTACTACTATGTAGATTATATTGTTAATATCCAAACATGTGCAATTGTTGATGGGGGAGCTGCAGCAGGAGAATGATGGAGTCCTTTTTTTCTTTCTTTTCGTTTTTGGAGTCCCCACTCCCTTTACTCTGGCCAAGGAAAATTATCATTAATATAAAGCAGAAATTATGTCATCCTCAAGCTATTCTTTTGAACTCTGTCTATTTGTGTTGGAGCTCAGATTAATTTCATAGATTAATCTGGATCCTGTAAGTTTGACATGTGGAAGATTTGCAAAATATTATGTTAGAGATTGGTAAAAGACTTTCAAAATCTCAGAAGGAAAACATCTAGTTATGGAGATCAGATTAGTCATGAAGGAAAAATGATCTGGGTAAGGCAGTAAATGCTCCATGCCTCAACCTGGTCGAAGTCTTCATAGCGGAAGAGCAGTGTGGGGTTCAGGAGGTTTTGATTAAAAAAATACATGGGGAAGGATTTTGTGGAATTTCAGTTTGTGGCTAAGAGCTTCATTGTTATGCTTCCAGCTTTGGTTAAAAAGTTTAATGGTTAGAGCAGTGGTATATAATCTTCTAAGGGGAGGAATGGTAAATGTGGCATCACCGGCCAGTTTTAGGCTTATAATGCTGGTAGATGATTACCCTTACTCCGTATCTCGAAAGAGAATCTTTTTTCTGGTTAAGTGATTTGCTCAGTGAAAGACAAAAAGGTTCTTTCTAACATTCTCAGAATGTACAGGAGAAATCAGAATTTGTGTAATGCTTGAGGTAGGTACAGTTGCTGATATGAAGTCCAAGGAGATTGAGATGGCATATAGAATGAATCTTTTTCTCCTTTTGGGATGGGATGGACAGGGAGGAGGATAGAGTGCTGGACACAATCTATTTATCCTGAGAATCTGAGTTGTGATATTACTATGTTCAATTGCATGCTATTCAACTGTGCAGTTAACTTGTACTTTTCTTTTGGTAACATGTATGATCGTTTTTTTTTTTTTTTCCCCCATTATTACCTCACCCCTAATGTTTTATATATCAGCCATGCATCAAATAATACTTTGGATGGGCTTAACATGTTTGATGGCACCGATAGCTGTTACTTTCACTCTGGACCTCAGGGTTATCACTGGATGTGGGACTCTCGACTTTTTAATTATGGACACTGGGAGGTATGTGCACTTTTGAAAACTAGAACGGGCTGAATAAATTATTCAATCTTTTATCCTCTTATGAATATCATCAAATATAGCATCAACTATGATATTTTGTTGTAGGTATTAAGGTTTCTGCTCTCTAACGCAAGATGGTGGTTGGACGAGTACAAGTTTGATGGTTTCAGATTTGATGGTGTGACGTCAATGATGTATACTCACCATGGCTTACAGGTATTTCCATGTTAATTGGTGAGACTTGGCTTGTACTCTTAGTTGGATCGATATAGATAAAAAATGAGTTGCATTGCATGAACTTGCATAAATGCAAGCGGTTGTAATTGCCACGAAATATGCATTGCTCCTTGTGCTGTTCCATAAATCTGTTTTTAACAGTTTGAAAACAGTTGTCATGTCAAATAGGCGAATAATGGAAGAATGGGCTATCCTCGAGTGATACTTTTCGAAATGTTATTTTGATTATTGAGAAAATTAGGTTCTCTGTTGCTCTGTTACTTGAAGTATTAGATCATCTTCAAAAGACTTTTTAAAAGTGAGTTGCTTTCAAACCTTAAAATTAGGTTCCAACAGACGATTTTAGCTTTTGTAGAATAGCACAAAATTGACTCGCTATTTGTATTTTATCAAGATTATATTTAGTGAAATTGCAAGTTTCAATTTTACTCTATTTAAATTAGTCATGTTATTTTTAATATTTTAGCTATTAAAATATGGAAAAATATATTAATTGAAAAATAAAGGAAAAACAGCAAATGAATGTCGCGAAAAGTAAAATAAAGAGCAAAAATAAAGAGTTTGTTGGGATATATAAAAAAATTACTCTTTAAATTTAAAGATGCTCGGTATTACGACCAAGTTGCTCTTTAAAATAAAGAGTCTCTTCAAAATGCTCTGACAAATAGTTAGCTTTAGTGTATGTTTGGTAAAGCTTGTAGATTATAAGTTGTGGGTCACTGGGTCTTGGGGAATGTGTGACTAAAAATTATCTTTGACCTGCATGCAAGCTTGAAAACACTTTACCAAACATACTCACGTTCATTATCCATCTTATCCATTAGAAGTTCCATTTACATGTTTTTGAACTTTTTTCAATATGAAAACTGCAAATCTTTCTAAATGATCTTATGTTTTAATCGCATTAAAATTGGAAAGTTTTCTTCTTCAAAAAATTGTATGGATAAATTCCTCTTTTGATAAATGTATAATTGATTAGTTGTCATTTATATTTTATTCATTTGTATTGTTCAATTTTCCAAACATTTGATTTTTAGACAGCTGTAAGTGAGCTTTATGCATATTAAACATGTTGCACAGGAAACTCTAAATTAATGAAGACTATCGAGGCCATAAAAAATATAGGTTTTATATGAATGAATCATCAATAGTTTTAGCATTTCTTGGTTTTGACATCATGACAATATCATTTGAGAAATTTGTGATGCTGGTTGTGTCTAGTCTCTCTTTGATATCCTTTGTACATCCTCCCACAAATGTTTTTATTGCTAATAGGTTGCATTTACTGGAAACTACAATGAGTACTTTGGATTTGCGACGGATGTTGATGCTGTAGTTTATTTGATGCTGGTCAACGACCTCATTCACGGGCTCTTCCCTGAAGCTATAACCGTTGGTGAAGATGTAAGTCTATCAATATCATTTGGCAGCCACAAATATGGTTTGATTTTTTTATTGATTTTTTTATTTTTAACTGGGGTGGAGAAATATTAGAAGGAATTGACATATTCACTTTTCCCTTGTTGGATTCCATATTGAAGGAGAAAAGAAAATTGGAGACACAAAATACATTTTTTCTTGTGTAACGACTCCGGCCCATGTCCAAGCCGTTGTATTACACTTATTATCCACTTTGGAGGGCATCTGCCCTCTTAATCCCTCACAAATTTCTATAGTGACCCCCATGATTCGAAAACCTGTCTTATGGAAGATTTAAGTTGAATCTTGGTGCCAATTGGGCCCAATTCCACTTGATTTTTAAAGTTTAATGTTAAGTATTTTTAGAATATTTATCAACAAAGTTTATGTACCAACTCCTTGGTACCCATTCCACTTGATTTTATTTCCCTCCATTTACTTTTTCTTTCCTTCTATCCAGTAAACCATCCTATGTTTTGATTGTGACTTTTGTTTGATATGCATATCTATATAAGTTTGATCGCTTAAGTTGTATGTCACACACTAGCATTTATCAGACATTTACACTGAACGGAATTAAATAGTATGGTTGGGTATGAAGAAAATTGCCTGGGCAGATCATCATAGCACAGGTAGCCAAGTCATACGTGCAAAGAAAATAATGAAAATGAAGTACCATCAACACCAATAAAAAAAGGTCAATAAGTTCGGAACAAGAGAAGAAAAGTTGTTCACTTACATAAATAGGATTCCTCAATGAAATCTCCTTTCAGGACTTGGTTCTATGTTATTGCTTTTTTGAGTGTGTCCATAGAGTTAATCATCAAGCTAATTCTTTCCATGACCCAAACCCAACAGCTGCTTTCAACTCTGTAAAGTAGCTGGTTTTTCCATATTCTGTTTTAAGTGGTAATTTTAGAACATGCATACATTACATAAAGTTGATGTACCACATCATCTATTTCAGGTTTATGTTTCACAGTAAATTTGGGTTTAGGCACATATCCTTGTTCTCATTACCTCATTCAAGTGGTAATTTTAGAACATGCATACATTACATCAAGTTGATGTACCACATCATCTATTTCAGGTTTATGTTTCACAGTAAATTTGGGTTAGGTACATATCTTTGTTCTCATTACCTCATTCAATCCGTTGCCACTCCTATCAAGAGATCCAATAAATTCAGATCCTTCGCAACCATGTTAGGCCATGTTTGTTTTAGTCCACCTCTCCCTCTTCTATCATGATATATTGGGGTCTTATCTCTTTCGTGAATGAAAATTTCTTTCAATTCTATGCAAGACTTGGCAGGACTACTAAGTCATCATTTTCTTAATTTATCGTCGTTAGGTTTCACCTTTGCCCATTGGCATATAGTCTGCTTTCTTGTTCTATTAAATATTATTTACTGGAAGGAATTGGTAGCATGGACATACATCCATCTGAACATCATCATTTAATACTCTTAATAAAAATTTTATCCTTAAAACATCCTAACCCTTCAACCTATAAACTGCAGCAATAATTCGATATTCGTACCTTCACTTTTTTGAGATTTCATAGTTATTGCCCATTTACAAAGCAAAAAGATAATGTTGGTCACTTACGATTAGAAATGTTTGATTTTGGCAATGCTTCACTAGCATCTAAGATCTTGTTTATTGTAAACATCGTAGTAACTATACTAATCTTTGCAGGTCAGCGGCATGCCAACTTTCTGTATTCCTGTTCAAGATGGTGGTGTTGGATTTGACTATCGTCTTCATATGGCAATTGCTGATAAATGGATTGAGATGCTCAAGTATGTTGTCCTCGAAGCTCGAGATACTTCTATTCTTGAAAGTACCTGGTGTTCAAAATATTGTTTTGTGTATAGAAGAGTACATTTTGATAAAAAATTTCACAGAAAAGGTTAGATATTTATTTAGTTTCCTTGTACATTAAATGACTGTACATATATATACACAATGAAAGGCAAGTTTTTGCAGAAATTATCTCTATTGTTCGGTCCCTTTTTGTCATGGTATCAGAGTTGGGGGAAGTTTTCTAAAGTTCTACCTGCTATGAATTAATTTTTTTTGAAAGGGACATTCGTTTTTCGGTTATCAGCGCCACCTGCCTCTTCCTTTTCGGTGTGTTGGTTGCTAGTTTTTTTTATTTTTATTTTTTATAGGTAATCAGAGAATTTTATTCCTTAAAAGAGAGTACATGGGAGGTATACAATCACTTTAAGCATGAAAGGAACAACATGAAATTAGGCAACCCTACAACAGAATTTTTAGCCACTGCATTAAATCAAGTATACAAGGTCAAGTAAAATAATTCTCTTATCTGTTTTGTTGTCTTTGTTTGGTCTTCGAAATATCGATCGTTCCGTTCTCTCCATATGCACCATACAATGCATCCCGAGATAAGATTCCAGAGAAGTTTTCTATCCTTATCGCGAAGTTTTCTCCTCCATGCCTGTACCACGTCTTCTATATGCCTAGGTAGCACCCAATCCATTGATTGAGAAGCCTGAATACTGTTCCAAAATCAACGTACACCATCACAATGAATGAATAAATGATCAATCGTCTCTCCATCCTTCTTGCACATATAGCACCACTCGGTTACATAAAATCATTTTCGTCGAAGATTATCCATCGTTGACACCTGCCCTCTCATAACTGTCCACAATAGAAATGCTAACCGTGGAGGCAATTTGCTTTGCCACACCATCTTCCAAGGTAATGAACTCTCCACAAATCCCAAAAGGGATTGAAAGTATGAGTGGACTGAAAAAATATCATCTCGAGCCAACCTCCACCTGCTACAATCACCCTCTCCTACCCGAATTTGTATCTCATGCAGAGCGGTCAAAAACAATGAATAATCTTCCAATTCCCTATCCTGTAAACCCCTCCTAAAAGTAATATTCCAACTATAGCCCCCATTATGAATGTCTAATACATCACCCACCATAGCAGCAGGCTCTAACGCAATGCGGTACAATGAAGGAAATCCCTCCTTTAACGGTTGATCGCCACACCATCATTCCAAAATCTAATATCAGTGCCATTTCCCACCACAAAATTTAGTTTGTCCCTAAAATCATTCCATCCCCGTCGGATATACCTCCACAAATTCACCCTATAGGAGCCACGACCCTCAACCGTACACCAACCCCCCTCCATCACACCATACTTTGCCCCAATGATTTCTCTCTAAAAGCTCTCCCTCTCCACTCCAAATCGCCACAACCACTTGCCCAATAAAGTCTTATTAAACAAAACAAGGCTCCTCACTCCAAGCCCCCCATCCTCATAGGCAAACAAATAGTACTCCAATTAACCAAATGCATTTTCCTCTCCTCCCCTAACCCTGCTCACAAGAATTCTCTTTGAAATCTCTCTAATCTATTTGCCACTGCAACCGGAATAGGAAACAATGACAAAAAGTAAGTGGGGAGATTTGAGAGAGTGGATTTAATAAGAGTAAGTCAGCCTCCCTTAGAAAGATACATACACTTCCACCCTGCTAACCTCCTCTCCATTCTTTCCATAATACCATTCTAGATATGTGTAATTTTAAACCGTGCCCCTAGCGAGAGGCCTAAATATGATATGGGCAATTGTGCAATCCTACATCCCAATATACCAGCCAACTCCTCCACGTTCCCCAACTGGAATAACCTCAAATTTCCCCAAATTGATTTTTAATCCAGACACCGCTTCAAACATAGGAGCAAACGGCGCAGGTTCCTGAATTGTTCAGCATCTGCATCACATAAGATCAACGTGTCATTGGCAAATAGCAAATGAGATACCTGCAATTGGCCAACCCTAAAGCCCCTTACCAAACCCTCTCCCACAGCTCTTTCAAACATTCTACTGAAAGCCTCCATCACAATAACAAAAAGCAATGGGGCTAGTGGATCTCCTTGCCGCAATACTCCAAAAATAACCCTCCGGCGTTCCGTTGACCATAATTGAGAACGAAACAGTAGAAATACAGAACTGAATCCATTTACACTACTTATCCTCGAAGCCGCACCTCCTAAGCATATACAAGAGGAACCCCCAGTTCACATGATCATATGCCTTCTGAATATCGAGTTTACATAGCATCCCAGAAATTTCCAAACGCAATCTTAAATCAATGCATTAATTCGCTATAAGCACAGAGTCCAAAATCTAGCGACCTTTTACGAAAGCATTCTGAAACTTGGACACTACTTTCCCGAGCACCTCCTTTAATCTGTTCGCCAGGACTTTCGCAGTAATCTTATACACCCCACAGATTAGGCTAATAGGGCGAAAGTCCTTAATGTCGGTCACTCTCGATTTCTTAGGGATCAGCACAACAAATGTAGCATTAGAACTTTTTTGGAACCTGCCATGTTCAAAGAAATATGTAAACATATCCAAAATTTTCGATCGCACCACCTCCCAACAAGCCTTGTAAAATGAGAACGAGAAACCGTCCGGTCTAGGGGCCTTATCCTCGTTCATGCTAAACACTACCTCTTTGATTTCATCCTCCTCAAAAGGTCGCTCTAACCACCCGGCATCATCCTCCGTGATAGTAGAAAAATCCAATCCTTCCAACTCTGGCCTCCACTCAAACTGCTCCTAATATAGATTCTGATAGAAATTCACCAATTGGCTTCCAATTTCGAGTGGTTCTTCATAAGTTATCCCATCCACTTCCAACATTGTGATAGAGTTTTTGCGCCTATTAGAATTAGCGATCTTGTGAAAAAACTTAGTACATTTATCTCTTTCTTTCAACCAATTGACTCTAGATTTCTGACGCCATGCAATCTCCTCCATCTCCACCAACCTCTCCGATTCTTCCCTTAATGCTTTACGTTTCTCCTTCTCCTCCCCAGCCAACCTTTGACTCTCCTCCCACCTATCCAACTCATCAATCTCTGAAAGACACTGAATTTTACGAGAGTTCACATTGCCCACAACCTCCTCATTCCATCTCTTTAAATCTCTTTTCAAAGACTTCAACTTTTGATCCAACACAAAACTAGGAGACCCCCTAACATCGTAAGATGTCCACCAAGTCTGTACTTGCTCCCTAAAATCTTCAACTTTCAACCACATTTTCTCGAATCTAGAAGGCCTTCGTCCTCCACCCGTCCCGTTCCCGGTTAACGTAATGGGGAAATGATCAGTGTACACCCTCCCCAATCTTCTCTGAATGACATCTGAATACTTAGCCTCCCAATCTCCGCATATCAAGAATCTGTCTATACGAGAAAGAACAGGTTGATCCCGATTAGATGATCAGGTAAAATCTCCTTCAATCATAGGCAAATCTACCAACATATTCTCCCTTATAAAGTCTGAAAACTCCTCCATTGCCCTCGTGAGTCTCCCATCGTTCGAACTCTCAATAGGAAATCGAACAACATTAAAGTCACCTCCTATACACGTTGGTAGATTCCACCAAGCCATCATTCCAGCCAGTTCATCCCACAAGCGCCGTCTACTGTCATCAGTATTAGGCCCATAAACATCTATGACATCCACTGAAATCCATCCCCAATGTTTCTGAACGACATCGAAATTGAGAACAATCCAACACTCACCTCCTCCATCTCAAGCACTCTGGTGTCCCACATGACTAATATGCCTCCAGAAATCCCTGATGATCCCATAAACTGATACCCTACATGCTGTCCCCCCTATAAGCTATTGACCACCGCCCTCGAGATGACCTCCATCTTGGTTTCTTGTAAGCATACAAGATCCACTCCCCAGCCCCTTAGCAGATGTCGAACACCCATCATTTTCCCAACTTCATTAAGTCCCCTTACATTCCCGCTAATGATTCGTGGTATCATTTTAACATTCTAGCATCCCTCCCCAGTACTCCATTATTAGACTCACCACCCTTGCCATCATAATTAACTGACCATTGGAGCCTCTTAAGTTCACGGTCGCCCTTTCTTCTTAATTTACCTTCTTGTTTACTCATCTCCTGTCCTTTATTGGCCTCCAAATCTTCAAACAATTGTAGTAATCCGTTTTCGTATCTATCACAAGACACGCCCATTTACTTACTGAAATCCTGAATTTTCTGTAGAACCCAGTTCGAAGGTGGCTGTCCAGCTTCGAATCCAATCAATTCCCCTGTTTCCTCCACCTGTATAACATCACTTTCTATTTCTCCCTTCTTGGCTCCATTTACCCACAACACCAGTGCTTTTTCCGTCCCCGAGTCACTTACCTTCATTGACTTAGAGTTTCTTCTATTATATGTGTTTGCGACCCTTGTTGTCAAAGGTGTCGCGTTGTGCTCTATCACCCCTGACAGTACATGCCTCGTCCGTTGGTCACCTAGTAAAAGCCCATCATCGTGTGGGACTGTGTCCATTGCACTCATCGTTACTGTCTTCAAGTTCACCATACTCTGCTCCCCTTCTTTAGACTAAGGTACCACCTCTCAGTCTATATCGGTTCCCGCGTCGACCTCATCCATATCCATCCCCTCTAAGACATCATCTTTATCATATTTAGATTGTCCCTCATCCGTTTCAATCCGATCAATTGACTCACAAGTGATTTCGAGTCTTCCCTACTTTACTTAATTATATGCCGATTCCTTCTTATTCAATTTCGATGCTTGTTTTCCAACAGCTGGATACTCATCCATACCCACCCCACACTTATGGCAACATAACTTCTTGGGACCCATTTCATACCCACTTCCCACTAGCCTAATCAATTCTTCCAACGCTCCTTTCAATTCCTGGACACGGGCCATAATTTCAACCATATTCAAACAACAATGACCTTCGTTTACACTGACATTGACTGTCATCTCCTTTTGCTGTTGCATCCGTTGGTCAGCATGCTTTGAGGCATGTAAGTTTGCTGTTACGTCTACATAAGTCAATCTTTGTCGATTACGTTCATTCACCGGTTGACGTTTGGCCTTATCCCCAACAACAAAAGAATCAACAACAGTTTGAAACACCCGCGAGATTGATGCCCATCCTTCTCCATTCGCGCCTTCCGGCACTAACACAACTCCTTTCCGACGTCTATCCCCATACTGTGCTATCATCAAGTACCTACCACAGCGGTTCGCATAACGCTGTGCCAAGAAGGTTCTTGATGACTCATAGAACCTAGAAGCGAAATCCTCATGCTTACTAGTTGCCCTCAACTTGTCCATCATATTCACCATCCAAAGTGCACCGAACCTTCCCATGCTAATTGCATTTGATATCTTCGAGCCCCATTCGGTCATTTTAACAGCACCAAGATTGGTAACAGAAATTGCAAACTCTTTCGCCTCAACTCGAAAACGATGATTGAAGGCCACATCGAATTCATCCACAAACTTCCTTCCCTGATTATGTGTGAACGGCATATTAGACAGCAAAACAGGCATCGTTACTGGGTTGGGGACATTCTGCTCGTCATTCTGGTTCTCCAGCGTCGGCGCGTGACTGCCACGCGCCAGTCCGACGGCGCGTGGGTCCCTCAACGCTGCCACCCTCGTCGGAATTGCCTGCGCAGACCCCCGGTCAGGCGCGTTTGCCAGGTAGGTGGCCAGATTTTGATGAATCTGGATCGGCATCCCCTGTTTTCCCACCTGTATTCCGATATTGGCGTCGTCGTCTCCAGCTAGGGTGGAGGTGCTAGGGTTTCTACCGAGGGCCGTCGCCTGTTTGTGTGGTTTATTAAGTGGCGTGAGGCCTGTGAATGGGGGTTGGCCGGTCGACGTGAGTTGCGATCGGTGGTGATGGGGTGTTCGGTGGCTGGCTAAGGGTGTGGTGTTTGGATGTTAAGGAGGAGAGATCCATTTTTGTGGGAGAGATGTCACAGAGAGCGCATCAGAGAGAGATTGACTTGTTGGTTGCTAGTTATTGGTGGCTGTGTGGATTCTAGTCCTTAGTTTGCGTTTTTCCAGTTCCGATGCCATTGGTTTGGTGTTCTCTCTCGAGTTGTCTGGTTGGGTTCTCTCAGGTCAGCACGAACCCTCTATTTCGATCTTGGCGACGTCGCTGTGTAATTTCCCCTGAACAATTGAGATAATTTCTGATTCTTTGCAATGCAGAGAATGAACAATTCAGGAACTTGCGTCGGCTACTTCTATGCTTTGAAGCGGTGTCGGGATTGAAGATTAATGTAATGAAATCTGAGGCCATTTCAGTGAGAGAGGTTGCTAACGTGGATGAGTTGGCTGATATATTGGGTTGTAGGATTGCGCAGTTGCCCATATCATACCTTGGGCTCTTTTTAAGGGCAAGGTTTAGAAGTAAACATATTTGGAACGAAATTGTCGAAAGGGTGGAGAAGAGGTTAGCGGGGTGGAAGCGTATGTACCTTTTGAAAGGAGACCGCCTTACTCTCATTAAATCTACTTTGTCTAATCTCCCAACTTATTTCTTGTCACTATTTTCTATTCCTGTTTACAGCGGGAAACAGATTAAAGAGAACTTCATTTGGTGAATTGGGGCGTGGTTTGGTCTTCTGTAAGATTCCCGGGGGGGGGCTTTGAATTGAGGAGCCTTGTTCTATTTAATAAGACTTTATTGAGCAAGTGGTTGTGGCGATTTGGAGTGGAAAGGGAGAGTTTTTAGAGACAAATCATAGGAGCGGAATATGGTGTGATGGAAGGGAGTTGGTGCTTGATCAAGGATCTTATGGGGCGAGTTTGTGGAAATATATTCGACGAGGATAGAATGACTTTCGAGAGAAATTGACTTATGTGGTGGGGAATGGCAATAGTATCAGATTTTGGGATGATTGTTGGTGTGGAGATCATGCGCTAAAGGCACGGTTTCCTTCTTTGTATAGCATTGCTTTGGAGCCTTCCACTATGGTGAATGATGTACTAGCCATACATAATGGAAGTTACAACTGGAATATTTCTTTTGAGAGGGATTTACAGGACTGAGAATTGGATGATTATGCACTGTTTTTAACCTCCTTGCATGAGGTGCATATTAAGGTAGGAGAAGGTGATCGGAGCACATGGAAGTTCGCACGGGATGATATATTTTTAGTTCACACTTATTTATTATCCATATTGAGACCGGCGGAGAGTTCATTTCCTTGGAAGATGATGTGGCAATGTAAACTGCCTCCACGGGTAGCTTTCTTATTATGGACGATTGTGAGGGGCAGGCGTTAACAGTGTATGATCTTTGAAGAAAATATTTTTATGTTATCGAATGGTGTTATATGTGCAAGAGAGATGGGGAAATGATTGACATTTGTTCATTCATTGTGATGGTGTTTGGTGGTTGTGGAACGATATTCTAGCTTCCCAGCATTTGGATTGGGTGTTGCCTAGGCGCATAGAAGACATGTTGCGGGCATGGAGGAGAAAATTTTGAGATAAGGATAGTAAGCTTGCGTGGAATCTTATTCCGGAATGCATTGTATGGTGCGTATGGAGAGAAATGAACAATCGCTGTTTCGACGACCAAACAAGAACAACAAAGCAGATTAGAGAGTCGTTTTATATGACTTTGTATAATTGATTTAATGTTGCGGCCAGTAATCACATAAAAGGGCTGCCAAATTTTATGTCGTTTCTTTCTTAGTTAAATTGATAACACACCTTCTATGTATTATCCATTGATTAATAAAATTACTTGATTACTTATAAAAAAAAAATTGTACAAGAAAACTAAATTAATACAATACCTAAAAATAATCTCTCTCCCAAATATACCTAACTATATATATACGGTAACACTTACTACATCCCAACTTCTTTCTATTTCTAAGTTGAATGAACTTCCCTGTTTTTAATCTTAGCAAGAATATTTACACTGGATCCAAATTACAAGAGGAGCAAAGGAATCTGAATTCATGACTTGGTTAAGAAGCGTCCCACGGTTTTAATATGTTGAACCACTTGATATAAAAGTTTAAGCTATTATATAGAGTTACATGTATATCATTTAAACATTGTTTTCAACGTGCCCCCCATGTAAGCAGGGTTTATTTTTAACCATTAAAGCCTAAGGCGTGCAAAATTCATTTAAACGGGTGGCCATGGGACTTGAACCAAGAATCTTTGCAAGCTCTGATACCGCACTTGATCTAAAATATTTAAGTCATTAAATATATATCATTTAAATATTATATTCAACATCTTATATTGGTCATGAACTTGTTTTGGGGTCTGAGTGAGGTTTACACAGAGATGGCGGGTTAGATAAAGGGAAATAGGTGGTATGCGTGACAATTATATTTGTTTCTTGATTTAGACTTTGAACTTGTGTCATGCAATTGTACACAAAAGCTACAGTGAAATTTTGGCACCATCGTGCCATGTTATCAATATGTGAACATACAGTGTGCATGTTATGTACGAACAGAGACAAGGGGAAGAGTTTCCATTGCCTTTTTGGTTCTTTCTCGACTTCTAATTGAATGTATAAATAATTCAAAACATTGGAATCGTTGTTGTACTATTTTGCATTCAAATGCTTATTTCTGAATCCTGGAATGATTATTTTCCTCATTTTGATTGAAAAGGCGGTGTGGGAAAAATATATCTTTTGAACGTGTAGTTTGTGGGATAAGCTGATGTCAGATTTGAATAATGTGATACTATTGTTCATTGATGTAACATAAAAGAATAAATACATGATCTCAAGATATAGTATACAGCGAAGTACAGGTGATTTTTATAGCATCTGATATGTGGAGCTAATCAATAGTTTCAGCTAACTTCAAGCATTTTAATTATTACTATACCAATGTGCATTAAGATATGTATTTTAGATCCTGGAATGAATACTTTCCTCATTTTGACATAAATTGGAGATGTAGGAAAAAAATTATTTTTGTAATAAGTTTGTGGGATAAAGCTTGCATCATCTGTATGTGGAGAAAATCTATAATATATATAGATAGCAACCGCACGGGATTTTTCTCTTTTTCTTTTTGAAAAACTGCACGGGGGACTTTACTAATACATAATAGCTATTCATATGATGTCATTGATAAGTTCTATGAGAACTTCAAGAGTGCAAATTTTATTTTATGTTTTACATAATGTTCATGTTATTAAAAATTAATGTTTGTATTGACCACATTTAAAATTACTCTCTTTTTCACTCTGATGTTTTGATGCAGGAAAAGGGATGAAGATTGGAAAATGGGAGATATTGTGCACACACTTACTAATAGAAGGTGGTCAGAAAAATGTGTTGCGTATGCAGAAAGTCATGACCAAGCACTAGTTGGCGATAAAACTATTGCATTCTGGCTAATGGATAAGGTTTTATATTCTTTTATTTTGTTCTCAATCCAGACCCTTATGGTCTTCTAAGAAAAATAAATACTAGTTCATTAGTTCATTTTGAAATTCAACCAGCAGAATTGTACGAAAAATTGACCGCATTACTTGGAAGCCAAAAGTTTGTTCTCAATCCAACACCTTATGGAATGCATTTTATTGGACAAATAAGTTCATGAACCAGCATATGTCCAATTGAAGTATCATAACGTTACTTCTAATCTTGTCATACATATATTGAGTGGTACAATATGTATTGTCAATCTTAAAGCAGAGAGACTACTAAAAGTTCACGGATAAACTTACTCGCTGAACAACAGAGCATGCTAAAAAGTTCACAGATAAACTTACATTCTTACAAATTTGCCTCATAAAGTGGATCATAGTCTAGATAAACCAGATTCCAGCTCTTGGTTTCACCTCATCTTCCGTCGTACAATTTAAAACCAATCTAAAGTTTGTATATTATTTGAACCATTAGTTTGGAATTCGGGATTTGTTGGTTAATTGATTTCATAATCAGTGCTTATGTTTCTGTAGTAAATAATATCTTGTCCAAATACACATGTATTCTTGGTTATTCTAGAAAATAAATACTCATAGTTCTCAAAGCATTTCTGGAAATTTCTCTGTTAATAGTTTGCTTCTGAGTTTGAAATGTAATAAATTGCTTTATTTAAGAATCTTTAGTTAGAATGATATAAATTAGGAATTAGTCATTGGACTTTGTCTCTATGTCAAGGGTTTTGTGGCAGGTTAATGCTTCTTCTCCAAATAGCATTAGACTTTACTTTCAATATTCACGTGTACTATCTTTTCTATTTTTGTTGAACAAAGTTGATGAGGCTATATTTCCCACTGCATTATAGTGGTGGAGGAAGTCATTTAATTGGATCGATGATATATTTGTTACTTTATGCTAACTCATGATATAATTTTATTCTACATTTCAGGATATGTATGATTTCATGGCTGTAGATAGACCATCTACTCCCTTGATAGATCGTGGAATAGCATTACACAAAATGATAAGGCTTATCACAATGGGATTAGGAGGAGAAGGGTACCTAAATTTCATGGGAAATGAATTTGGACATCCTGGTAGGAATGCATTGTTTTATACTGTTTTTTGAAGTGGTTTTGATGTTCTCTATTTTCCAGTATTCGGTAAATCACTTTTAGTTTTGAACCAATGAACATTTTTTATTTTTTATTTTTTTTGGGGGTTAAATCAGAGTGGATAGATTTTCCTAGAGCTGATCAATATCTTCCTGACGGAAAATTTGTCCCTGGAAACGGTAACAGTTTTGACAAGTGCAGGCGTAGATTTGATCTGGTAAATTTTGGCTCTATCTTATTCCAATTAATCTTTTCCAGTGATAAGAATTCCTTATGCATGCAGTCATTCTTTTATTGAGTGTTCTCTTTCAGGAGATTAGGGAATTTATAAGAAAGTGTTTTTCTGTTTGTTATAAATAATTATATGTACTTCGTTGCTGTGGAACTTCTGTATTACTGGCAACAGTTTATCGAGTTTAGATGAATATCACACATTCCTACACCGTTGGCTGATTTCTGCAGTTAATAATTCACAGCAAAACCAAGACAAACACGAGTATATGTAGAGGAAGACTTATATTCTCTAATGGAAGAACTGTAGCACAGTAAAATATATTGAAAACAGTGACAGTGTGCTTTGCTATTAAAGGAATTCAACAGTAAAGAAATTGAAATAAAACAAATGGGTATTTGGACATTCGAGAGGTCAAATGCTCTCCTATATGTTTCCACCAATTTTCTGCATATCTTTTCTCTTCCCTATGGCTCTGTTTTATAGACCTGGCTCCATAACAACCTTGCTAACGACTTTAGGGGCTCCCACATGCTGGTTAATCATCTCTGAGTTGTTTTCCTTTTCTGCCCTTATGGTTTTCTTGCGTCTGTTGTATGTTAACTGAATAGGCGGCTTATCAGAATGCTGAAACCTAGTTACTGGACAAGACATACTTAATCATCAAGGACGAGATAGATTTAATCATTGTTTAGTAACTGGAAAGTCTCAGAAAAACTTCCTTGACTAATTGTGACCCGATAAAACTTACAAGCAAGCCATAAACAAAGATGGCCTTGGAGAGTATTTTATACTACACACGCACACGCTAACACACATGGAAATGCCCGTTGATATACACTTCGCTCTAGTCCTAAATTTGTTCATGGTTATTCGGATGCCTAACAATTTCATGTCTTGAATCTCAATTTAGCAGAAAGAAATGTGTCGAGAACAACAAACTAAACCTTGTTCCAAGGAAAAAGGAAACGAGAGAATTTCTGAGAGATGGGAAATGGAAATTTCAACGGGCGAAGTTTACACGCCTTTTTAATTCTCATGCCATCCAATTCATCTTTTGTTCTCTATAATTCTGATAAAAAGCATTGTAGGCGATTGAGAATATTGTAAATAACTAGGAAGGACTCATTCTATGTATAAAGAACATGGAATTTAACAAGGATAGATCATAGATTTTAGAAAAAGTTATTTTTAATAAAAAAACGTTTCATACCTGATGCTTTATGCTAGCTTCTTTCTTTGCATTTGTAAGTTCGATTCAAAAAATTTAAAGTTGGTCAAATATTTTGCAACTAAACAAGAAGGAAATGTTATGAGCATCCAAAGCATGACAATGAGGGATAGGTTTTAGAAAGGCTTATAATTTTTAAATTATTTCCATGATGAAAGCCTTTTTAAGAATGTTGGAAAGGGAAGTGGCCTCTTCACTGATGTTAGGAATCAATTTCTTCCGTGTTATTAAATATAATAGTTAATTAGTACGTACTTCAGCTACTTGAGAAGGATTACTACTAAGGGAGGGTAGAAGGCAAAGGTGTACAAGTAAGAAAGTGGGTGTCACGTGTACTAATTTACATTTAAATGCTTTAAAGAATACAAAAGCAGCTTGTAAACACATTTATGCACCACTCAGTACAACTTATAATGTTTTCCCCCTAAAAAATCAATTCCGGTTCAAAGTAAATTTGGCAGTGTTTTTTTATATATATAATATCACATTGGAGAGTCCATTTTACTGCACTGGAGATGATGTTACACTATTTCTATCAACATATATTACACTACGTGAAAACACAGCTTTGATATCTCTTGTGCTTGGTTGATATGCGTACAAGTTCAGTGAAAATAAATTAAACATAATTATGTTTTTCCTGATAGACCTTTGAAGTTATTTGGAATGAATTCCAAGTTAACTGGTGCATATGTCTCTAAAATGACACTTGATGCATATCCAGGGTGATGCAGACTACTTGAGATATCATGGAATGCAAGAATTTGATCGGGCAATGCAGCATCTTGAAGAAAAATATGGTGTACGTATTACTGTGCTGATCTCCTTCCCTACTTAATCCAAATAAAAATATTTGATGCATTAAAATATTGCTTTCTAAGATTTGTATAAATTCTCATGCTGCCATGGGATTCAATGGTAAATGCTATGTCTGTCCCTGCATTTGTCTAACATCCTTTTTTTGGGCATTCAGGAAATGCATGTGACATGGTTTTTTATTATATATCAAGGCAATTTTTGTGGTCTTAGTTGAGTCTAATGTGACATACCTGTGGAGTTGTGGTCTCATTTAGTTTCATAACATATTTGGAACAATAGAGACAACTAGCAGCTACCTAGATTGGAGTGTCTGTAGGTTGATATGATGACCAACTTTGACGTGGTTTATTTATTTTTCTTTGTGGTTTTAGATTTTGAACGCAAGTAAAGGTAGCAAACTGGAGTACCCTGCTATTATGGACAAATTCTATGCTAGCATTGTCCACAAATTGGCTGAAATGATCGGCTTTCTGTATTTTTATGGATGACAAATTTAAATAGATAAATGTGTCTCTAGCAGGTTGAGTTCTTAAATGAGATTGTTTAATTTAACATCAGAGCAGGTAAACGTTACGAGATCAATTTTAGCTGCATGCCGATGATGAAAAATGTTAATATGTCATTGCGTTGATGGAAAGAATCTAGTCTGCATGCGAGTGTGTTCAAGACAATTCAAATGATTAAATGTACACTCTCTAGCAGCTTAAACTTTTATATGAAATGGTTCAACAATTTTATTTTCTTAACATTGGAAGTAGAACCTAACGCTGTCATCATTATCAAAGTTAAGGAAAGGGATTATGGGCTCTAGATTTGGATTTGGATTTGGATTTGGATTTGGAGTTCCGTACCCTGTATGATGACAGTGACCCACAAACCTAGCCTAAGCAAACTTGTTCCTTTTTCTTGTTAGATAGGTACAGCAGTATACAGTAAATGTAGATAACTTTAGGTGAAATTTATTGGAAAGAAAGATAATAGAAGAAAAGAAGATGATGGTGCATATGGTGTTACTTAACAAAATAGTTGTTAAACAAAATAGTTGTTATGAGAATTGAAAAGACCTCTTAATTTACAGCCCAACTTATCAATAACCTGCTTAACTAAGCTGAAAATTTTACATGATTTACTGCTTACTTTGCTTTCCATCTTGTCCCAATTTTAATCACTTACTATTCAAGTTTCAAGCACATTGTTACTGGTTTTCTTTAATCCTCATATATTTGCATATTAATATTAAAGTTATCACATGTTTCCACAGTTTATGACTTCGGAGCATCAGTATATATCACGTAAGGATGAAGGGGATAGGGTAATTGTGTTCGAAAGGGGGAACTTGGTTTTTGTCTTCAATTTCCATTGGACAAGCAGTTATTCTGACTATCGGGTAGGCTGCCTAAAATCAGGGAAATATAAGGTAAAGCGAAACATTTCTCTTTGGTCTCTCTCTCTCTCTCTCTCTCTCTCTCTCATTTGGGTAGTGCGGTGAAGTGTTTCTCCTTTCAAGTATATTCTTGCCTATAAATTAGAAGGCTGCCCTTGTTTTGCAAATTGCTACTTTTTTATGGAGAGAAAGCATGGTAATGGTGTTTATTGAGACAATTAACTTGCTATACTAACATTTGGGAAGTTGACTGCATTGATGGTTCTCTCAAAAGATGTTAAGAGGATTTTAATGTTCATAACTCATTCTTCAATTTAGTCTTACCTCCTGAACAACATATACAAAGAGCCCCACGACCAGCATCCATGATCCTAGAATACGATCCCTCTTAATAAATTCGATAATCCTGGAACCAAATTGTAAGTACTGTAACATCCTCTATGATTGGGTGCCTGGTTTTGCTAGAAGATTTATATGTGATTGAGCAACTGCATCTCAATGTCTTAATTGTGGCAATATGTGGTTTGGGGAATCCACCATAATGCTTAATGATCTGGCCAATTAATGTTTTGGTCAGTTAAATGTTGGTCTTTGTTATATTCTTTTACATGTTTTGAAAGTTACTATTCATCAAAGTGCCACCTTTTCAGGTAGTGTTGGACTCAGACGATCCACTATTTGGAGGCTTCAGTAGAATTAGTCATGACGCAGAGTATTTTACCTCAGTAAGTGCATTTACTCAATGATACCCCACCAAATGTCGCCCAAATAAAAAAAAGGATATTACTAATCTTCTTTCAACCCGATATGCACAGGATGGGTGGTATGATAAGCGGCCTCAATCTTTTATGATCTATACACCTTCTAGAACGGCAGTGGTCTATGCTTTAGTTGAAGATGAAGTGGTTCCGGTCGAAGAATGATCATATGGTAATGTAATGAGCAATACAATTTCGATTCGGACTTGTACAGACTACAGTGATTCTATGCATAACTGGGCTATTTTAGTGCAATGCGGTACTTGTGGAGGTGCAGTGGCGTGATATGGAGTTCCCCGGATGTACGAGGTGTTGGAAGAAGGAAGGTATATAAAAGTTACTAGTTAGTTGGGATAGTACAAAATAATGTTTTTAGGCAATTTGAAGAACTGCGAAGTGGTATTGGGTAGACCTGTGTGCGCATTCAGAAGAAAAGACTATAATTTTGCTGGAGAATCCATACATCTGATGAACTATTTGTCATAATTGAGTTCTGTAAAATTCCATGACAGAACGTGCTTTCCTTTGGAAGCTTGTGGAAGGTGGCGACTTCGGCTACCATTCATACTACGAGACATGAGTTATGTAAGAGTTGGAATGTTTTCTTTAACTTAAAGAGTCTGCTTGCTTTCCTTCACGAGGAATATCGATAATGTCAAGCGATTTGTAAATTGCTTTGTTCTGAGATGCAAATAGAGAGTTTGGCAAAGCTTATTAGATTATAAGTTCGTAAACCCTACGAAATGCATGGATAATAAGCAAAAGCAATGAAAAGGTGTTGAACTAGCTTATAAGAAATTATAAGCTCTACCATACATATCTTGCAACTTAATTGCACAGCAAGGGTCACACATTTTCAAAAACACAAGCCTAATCTTGAAGACCTCGAAAACTAAAACTAAAACTAAAAAAATAAATTTGTTCCCCATAAAAATTTCAGCTCAACTCATCCAAAGCTCTATGTTTGTGACCTTGCTCAATTGATAGCCTATATGTCCACCACGTATTTTCTCCATATTCATCACGTTTCTACCAAATTAAAGAGCTACCCTGCTCGCATCGAAAGAGTCCATAATCATAATCTACTAAATTCCAGCTATCATACCACTAGTTGAAGTTGAAGGTAAACCAACATAGAGCAAGATTGAACTTTAAAATTCCCGTGAGAACTCAAGTTGACCCAAATGTTTAAGCAATTACGTGCAATTTGTCCGATGACAGAGAGAACTTCAAAACACTAATGCCAAATCGAAAGAGTCGTGCTTTAAAGTGGAATTCTTCTACGCTACTACTCAAGTTCCCCGAGAGAAAAGTGGCCAACATTTCCCATGCACGACAAAAACTTAAAAAAGTAATGCAAGAAACAAGATGAACTAATTAACCGTTCTGTTAGAAATTTAGCAAATGCAAATGATAATTAGGCAGCCGAGAGCATCGTGAAAGTGATGGTGACTGCATCAACTACTGAACACAATCCCTCAACTGTGGCAACTGACTATTTTCATGCAATAGAGCGCATAAGGTTTGTATAGGAAAAAATGAAATGTTTCGCATGTACAGTAACTAAGTTAGTAAAGAGCTATAGACACTCAAATTCATAATCTTAGACCAATAAGTTAGACGATGATGTAAATCGCGGAAATGTTCAGAGTTAACATTCCATGTTCCCCATCCGAGGCTGTATTTTGATGATCATAACTACACTTGAATGCTTGATCATTAAATTACAGCACCACTAAATCGAAACATGCATGTACAAAAATGAACGGGATTTACATACAAAAGGCACACCAACTGATCTCCAAGCCCAACACCTACTTACCATCTTCAATTGCCTTGTCTACAGCAACATTGAACTTTTTGTACTGAAATTCCTTTGGCTGCAAAGCATATTCCTTCGGTCGCACAACATATTCCTCCGGCACCACAGGGCGCCTATTTGCCAGGATAGTCCAAACAAACAACACAGTGAATGCTCCTAATGCTCCACATCCAGTGCCAAAAATTAAGGCAGCAAGTATTCTCACGACACAATCACTTCTCTTACGAACATTCAGTTCTTCTTCCTTATCCACAAAAGACTCGGGGTCCATTGGTTCTGAATGCATCCAATGTGGAACAGTTCTTGACCTAAAACTCCATGAATGCACATTACTCTTTTGCGATGAATTCCCACTAGATGAACTCAATCCCACTAAAACATCCTCATTTTCCCACATTTGTGACAAGTCAATAGGATAAGAAAGCAATGGGTCGACTGGCCTAACGACACCTATCTTACTTAGCCTCAACTCTATTCTTTTAGAATTTGCTTCATAGTCAATCCAGGCCTGTAATTTTTCAGCACTATTGAGCACCAAATTGATCGATGAAACATTGCTCACTTTAGCAGACACAGGACTATCAATATCAACCCCAACATGATTACCATTCACATCACCGTACTTTTCATCTTTAAAAGTATCAAATTCAACAGCAAGAAACCTTAATTTTTTGTCACCCACAAGCCCCATTGAACAACCATCAAAAACATTCCAAGGAAAATTAACAGGAGCTATAATAAAGGCCAAGCCATCTCCATTTTCACTAGACATGGAAAACACAAAATACATAGAGAATGACACCATATTTCTTGGGTTTCCTTCAACAAACTTAACAGGTTTCTTGAAAATGACTCTCCCAGAACTAGAAATCTGAGAACCAGAAATTTGAATACTATCATTAGAAAACTTAGCATCACCATACAGAGCAATCTGTGATTCAAATTCTTTTGAATCTTTACCAAAGTTCTTGAAAGAAAATGACATATATGGCTCAGCAGCTACAACTTCCAAGTAAAGATTCAGTAAGAAGAAAGCCATGAAGTACCTGGAAACCGAAATTGAAGCCATTCTTGATCTGGTTGAGAGCAAGAGGCTGAGGCTTTGCTTTTTTATCTTTTATTCTGGATTTACAAGGCTTTCTTTGAAGAACGCGTGGTACTTATTTACGAATTTTTCTAGGCTTTGTGAGCAGAAGTTTGATCTTTAGAACAAAAAATGTTGGGGCAAGGGATTTTGCTGGTGCTGCACGGTGGTGGATGGCTGGGGAAATTCGTTTTACTTTGACTCTTGGATGCACACTCATTCTTCCTTCGAGTGGTTCTGTGGTTAGGAATATAAAATATGAGATTCTTTAGGATTATGTCCCTGGAATTTTTATATTTGTAGTTAAGGGCCTCTACTTTGCACATTTTGCATACCATCACTTATAAACACTTTCGATTGTCCTATAATTGTTGTGACAAGTGACAACTGCAAATTTTTGGACTCACTGTGAAGAGTTAATCCCCTTGTACATGAAAAACTGTACAGAAGGCTTACTGGTGCTGTGCTAACAACACTTGCATGGTTACATTTTTTCTTTTTTTTGCCTCCCATTTTTTGTCAGGATAAAAACATTTATACTAAATTTTGTTGATAAAATAGTGTACTCACTCTCATAAAAATAGCGGACCCCACATGAATTTAAAAAATGTCTGATTGTAATCCTCATTCCCATTGTGAGTAGTGAGTAAGGGAGTTTGTAAAAAAAAAAATTGTAAATGTAGCATGATCCTTTTTGTCAACTCCCAATAAGAAAATGATATGATCCCGTAAAAACTCTGTACAGATTCTCTTACACAACTAATGTGAATTCAAGAAAAATTACCTACCATATTGGAAAATTAGTGTATATTATATTATGAGTAAATATTGAAAAATACTTGTTGTATATCATCATTTATATAATCTTTTACGGATTGATGAGGTCTTAAAAAGAAAGTGGGAGACTTTTTTTGATGAAATTTTAACCCAATCAAATTCGCAATATCATCTATTGAGAAACAAATATTTAAATTGTGATATACATGTAGTACAATCGATTAATATTATGCATTATTTAGCACTAGTGCAAATTGAATATAATATTTTGCTCTAAACTGGTTCTTGTTTCGTCTAAACTCATCATGTTTGAATGGTTATTGACTGGTCTAATCGGTTCTTGGTTGATTCCTTAGCTAAATTGACGAACTAATGCACTCGGATTGGACAACTATCCAATTCGTCGATCGCAAGCCAAATCGGTTGGTTCAATCCAATTTTATTAACAATCGTATGATAACTTAAACGATAGGTTTAATTATATTTTTGGACCTATCACTTAATGTCGTGTAGCATTAATCAATGATAGAATAATGTTAATGAATGATAGAACAATGTTTGATTTTATTAAAAAAAAAAATACTAGTCACTTGTGAGCGTTTCTTGATTATCATCTATAATCAGTACATTAATCTCCAATTTCACAAAAAAATAAAATAAATAATAATAATAATAATAATAATAAATAAATAAATAAATAATAATAAATAAAACAAGAGAGGCTGATCAAACTTATTTTTAACTACATTTCATTAGACCACTACTTCTATCACTTTTTTAGCTATTTATTTCATGTGAATCTACAACTTATAATCTCAAAAAAATTTGTCAAACATAGGTTTAATATCACCAAATTGTTAAGATTAATTAGTTAATTAAGTAATTAAAAAGTTGTGTTGGGCAGAAAAGTAAGATTCTTTGGATGGCATGCAAAGCAAGTTTAGAATAATACACACATTTCTTGGTTTTCACCCGACAGTGAACACACTCTGCATTGTGCTTAATATAAAAAGTCCGCGTGCCCTTTTGTCTTCAACGGTCCATTTTCTTAATTTATATTACATACTAAACCCTTGTTTGATCTCCATTTAGGAAAAAATAATGCATTTTAAATAGTAGATTGATAGAGAATGTGTGGTTAAAAATTAAAGAAAATTTTTGAACTTACGTATAATATTATTTTATTGAAGAATGTACGATTGAAAATGAATTTTAAAAAAATGAATTTTCAAAAGAATGAAAATCAAACAGTGGCTGAATGTATATTCACATTCAAATCGTACATACACCATCTCTAATCTCTATTATTGAGAGGCTTATTCTTCTAAATTATTTTTTTAAAAAAGAAAAAATTTATTTATTCAAACTCAGAACACATTGGTCCAAACTAATTTATTCAATACATACTAGAGAAAAAAAAAAAAAAAAAAAAAAAAAAAAAAAAAAACAATGAAACAGGGCCTAACAATTTTGGCCAGCGCGGAGAATTTAAGGATGTCTAAAAAGGAAACTCCGGAAACTCTTTGCTTGTATGCCAATTTTACTTATTTGTGAACTCCACATTTGTTTTGATAACTGGAAAAAAAATGCTAATTAAAAGACAGAAAGTAGGCTTTGGACTCTTGCCCCTGCATGTTCTTGTGTTCCTTGCCCGAGTCTTTCCTTTCCTGTCTTGGGTTGCTCTTTTGAGAGAGTGATTAATTTATGATCCTTCTGAAATATTTTGTTTTCCCTTAATTTATCAACTTAAATTGAATAACCATTCAAGAAAGTAAAAGCAGGTTACCAGTAGTTGGTGATATCATGTACATTCTAAAGATTCATTCCTATATTCAGTTTTTGAGAATCAAAGTAGGTTCTTGGATAAACTGCTCTCTTAGCAATTTATTTATGTTTTGGAGCAGCTATTACATGTTTGTGCACCCAAGTTTGATATTGGCGAAAAGTTTTGTCTTGTAATATTTGCCTGATGCATGTTAATATTTGGCCTGAAGAAAGTTCCACTTGCTTCCAGCTTAACGATTCCTCTCCTGATTCTCACTCTCGCATTTCTTACCCACATTCAAGGGAAGATTTTTTTTTTTTTTGGTCTTTCATCTCTCTCTGTAGCATTGTAAATTATATCGTCTTCCAGATGAAATCATCTTGTTGGAATATAAGCTTATGACAGAGTTGTGTATAACGTGAATCACTTTTTGCCCCCAGGGCACATCTCCAAGTGGTAAAAGGGGAGGGTGGAGAAATTCAGCTTTGCTTGAGACTGGTGCGTCAAGGGTTCGAATCCTGAAATATGGATTTAGCTCTTGGGTAAGTGCAAGTGTACAAGCAGTCTTCCACCCTGTACCCTTGGAGGCATAACCCGCGATTTACCTCCCTCACGATGCTCCAGGGCAGGAGCAGTGGGGGACCCTTAAGGTTGGGGTTCAACCTTTTTTTGAATCACTTCTGTCCATTTTTGCAGTGCCATATTTTTTTTGCTGAAAATACAATGTTAGCGACTTTCTAAGATTGTGTGATAAATACAGAAGCCAAAGATTTCCTCTTTAGTCACTCGGATTCATTGAAAAGACAGTAATATCCCGAAAACATAATTTGATCTTGTTTGTTTTTTATATAGTATATTTCATTATCTATTTGCTCTGCAGTTGCCATTCTTGCAAGAAGTAATTTGTCATCTGTCAGTTTATTCCATTTTTGTTTAGTTATTCCCAAAGTTACGTGACACTTAATCATGTCATACTTTCATTCTATTTGCTTCATTTTGGACAGATCATATTGCAATCGAGAGCTACTATAAATCCGTGGAAAAAGAAGAATAATATTGTTGTTTCCGAATAATTTCATCGAATCACTAGATACATATTTATATAAGTATTTTCCCATAATTGTGCTAATCTATTATAGGCAATCAAAATATAACAGGAATGTAATAATCCTACATTTAATACATCATATACTGGTCCCATGAATGTTGAAATATTATTGACTTTTCTTGTAGCGACCCAATTTTTTTTTTTTTTTTTTTTTTTTTTTTTTTTTTTATAATTTATTTATTTTCCTCATGGGAATGGGGGTGTAGGAGTGGTCCATGATAGAATCATTTTGGCGACAAAATGGCAAATTCTTTTCACCTAAAGCAACTAATTAAAGCTGTTGATCAATGAAACTTTATTAAAAGAAGAAAATACCAATAAATGGTTACTGCAACATGTCTTTTTAAAAGATATCTTTTCATGGAACTTAACAAAATGACCACTTTTAAATGAAATTGTAGAAATGCCCATAATGTTTAATATTTCATCACACAAATTAAGAAAAATGTAATTAATGTAGTTGAAATTATAAAACCTTCTTATATTTTTTCTAATATATCCTACATTAAATAATAGTTTAAATTAGAATAGCTCATATTTGCTAATAACAAGGTACATTAAAAGAGACATATTAGTAAAAAAAAATATGTATACTCTCACCAAAGAAAATGACTTATAATTTGGGACAGACAAAAAAAAGCAAGCTAACCTTTATTAGACAAAGAGAGTACACAACTTTTGAGATAGTGCTCGTTTGGTAGGGATTTTGATAATTGATTTTTTGATCGTTAGAAATAAAGTGGTTATACCTGTGAGAGAAGAATTCAAAAATAACGGCTGAAATAGTGAAATAACAGGTAAAAAAATTGATTTTAATTGGATTAAAATCTCTACCAAAGAAGCTCATAATCTTGAAATTTTCTAAGATAAGATTCATTTCATAGGGTAATTGAATGGTACACTAGACAATTCTAAGAACCGTAATTTTTTTTATTTGAGGTGTCAAAATCTCATCAAGCTTATAAACTCACACTATATTGCACTACAATTTACGCAACCTTAAGATTTTGAAACTTTGAAATTGTCGCTATAGCAAAAATGAGTCAACAAATCTAGAATCATGAGTTACTTATCTAAAAATAGAATTTAATTAAACGTAAACTTTGTACAATTTGAACATAGCTAAACATGCTACTTTGTTAGAAAAGTTACATATTCACAACCACCAGTTATGGTTTCATATCTTTTGATATGCAACATGGCATGTGGAGATATGTCCTGCGATTTTACGAACAAAATCAAGATATTTCAATTGACAATGTAGGGGAGTAGGCACAATTTTCAATTGACCCCATCCACCTAATCCCCACATCACACATACTCTTGTTGTATTTGACAACACTCAATATTCATCATTATCACTCAAATCCGTCACGCTTTTTTGGACATCTTGAACTGAGCAGAGTTGGCCGATCTTATTTTTAAAATCTAAGTAATTTTTGTTTTTTATCAGGTAATTGGGTTTTTAATTTTGCAAAAATGGGATGGAAAATCTTGGGAAAATTGGTTTATACCCTATTTGGGATGCGTTTGTCTGCTGTGCCATCGATGAATAGGTTGGATGGTTCA